CGAAAAATTGCAATTTAATTACGTCATAATTTGTCCATCGGCGTCAATGCAATTTATGTCGGGCCTTAAATTTTAAAATAAATACGTACGGTCTATGCCATTACCGTAAATCAATGGAATAACGGCCGGCATAAAGATAGGTTGTATGTCATTTTGAACATCTGCTGTAATTTAGCACACTCACCGTGAAAACGAGTCGAGTAACGTACGGCATCCCACTTACCTGGAACAAAAAGCACAAAATTAGTGTCTATACGAGATCTAATAGAGTATATGTATTGATTTAAGAGCGTGTAGCTATTTGAATTGCGCGATAAATGGCCATTGATAGAAATTGCGGTCGCGGAAGGTAATATTAAGAACGTGTCGTGGTGATCTATTATTTCGAAGACTTAACAGACGCAATTTTCTTTTTATACTAGAACGAATTTTATATAACCTTTTTTATTAATATTTTAAAACAATCTTTTTTTATAAAGTTTGTGAAACCCCTCTCTAGGTTAATTTCAAAATCCATTACACGCGTTACGTCGCCTGTGCGCGAATAATTGCAAAATGCTCGGCAGGACCAAGGACCCTCCATATTTCTTGCTCGCCGGAGGACAATGGATATCCATTACCAGGTAATGGCTCGCGTCATTACGCGTTTAGAGGCGGTGTTGGCCGACAGATGGTCGCGTATTAATTGCGGTTTGTTTCACAACGCGACGTCTGGACGCGATTTCGGATCGGAACGAGGAAGTCATTAGAACGAATTTTATTCCCAACACCTCCTCCTCCTCTCTATTTGATTACGCCTATGGCCTTAATTGCGCGGAGAAACGCCAAGCTTCCAATTAAACAACATTACAGGTGACACTTAATGAGAGGCGGCCTTCTCCATCAACAAACTCTCCGTTTTTAAACTCAAACTGCGAATCGATAGATCTGGGCGACGAGGAAGCGTTTCTCCTTAAGTTCGTTTTGTTGTTCGTTTCTTTCAACGGATAATTGTGCGGTTGAAACTGGGTTAAAGGAAAGACGGAGTTGTTTCCGTCAATAAAATATTAAATGTCATCCATTATTGATGCAATACCGTTTGAACAAAAACTATTTAAAAAGTTAAAGCTCATTAACAGATCATATTCTCACGATATATGTTTTTATAATATTAGTAACTAATTTTTATCACCATTGAATGCTCTATAAATGCTGTTTTAATTTCTTCTACACCTTTTATGTTGCCTAAAAATGTTATTCAATATTAAGATTTACCGGTACTTTTAATTACTTCTTTATATTTAATGCAATTATATTTACTTTTATCAATAAAAAATCGTCATNTCGATTTGCCGCTTTGGAACAATGTAGAACAACTCTAGAACAATCTAGAACAACAATAAAAAATTTAAAAATCAAAAAATGGGGGGCTAACTTCCCGCACTCTTTGTAGTAGGAATCTTTATTATTTAGTGGTATCCATTAGAAATTAGGTTTCAATTAACACCCAATTTATTATCATTTTGTGATTAAAATGTTACAGCACGGAATTGAGATATAGAAAAAGACTCTTGCACTTTCAATTGTGTCTCGTTTCTAACGGTACCTGCAAGATCCTTAATTAAGCCAACTTTTTACTGTTATCGACCAACTGGCATCTCGAAACCATATACACCGGATTACATGTCGTAGCAAACGCCATAAAACGGCTTCGTACAATCTCTTATTTGGCCCAGTCTGCGACGTAAATCATTTATTATTATTTTATCGCTTGTTTTATGTGTGCAGTCTCGTCCGCTTGGACGCAATACATTTTTATTGACCTTCAAATAGTTTATGTTTTAATAACAATAGACCTTTCGAGGATCACATAAAAGAAATTATTAAAAAAAATTCGCTTCATCTTATACTATTGTGCCTTAGGACGTTAACTTTCACCAGTGCTCCAAAAAGTGTGTGTGCTGTTGAGAAGGAAGTGCTCGTGGGAAATAACGCGTCTACGACATAGAAATTTTATGCAACTGGGTTTCCGGAATTGCATTTTTCTTCCTAATGTGTCACTTTCTCAAGAACGCTAATTTGTTTACAATTTACAACCAATAAAAAATCATAATCAATATTAACACATTCAAAAAAATGGTTGGAATGCAGAAAACATCCGCAGCATAGATGAACTTATTAAAACTATTTAATCGTGCGCTTTTACCGTTATTACGCAACTCATTCGTTTGGAACATATTACACATTACTAAACGAAAAGTTGGGAAATCTGGTAGAATCGTAGATGCCATACTCGGATTGAGTACGTAACGAATGTGCTCCGTGCAGACCATATCCAGTTTTATTAGTCAATTTCCTATGGGCTATAACTCCAGAGAGTTGGTTTGCCAATAAACAACACAAAAAATTACTGAACGGTTTGATACGACATTTTATCGAATTACAAATAACCGGATTGGTTATTTAATATTTATATCATAAAGTTTATTTAAAAACAAAATTACTTTTTGATTAGATTTTATATTGATTGCTTAACCGTGACTTATTTTCATTAGGTACAGTTGAAGCGTGAGTTAAAACCATTAAATAATTGTTTATGGATGCGTTTTATTTCTATGAGAAAAATATTGCAAAACTATAATTAATTAACTAAAAAATACGGAGTTTCAGATAAATAGTTACAAACAATTAGATGCGAATAAAAATGAAAAATATTATTCATACACATAACAATAAGGTGATAAATTGCGTTATTAAACTGCATAGAAATTAATCAATTAATTGATTATGTTGCGCAATAAAATTTGTAATACCGACTACGGCACGATTTAGCTTTTACTTTCTCTCTTGTAGCTTCGTCTGCACGTTATACAGTTTTGACATTTGAGAATCATGAATAGACACTACACGTTAATTTTATTGCACGTACAAAAAACTCTTGTTTCTTTTAATTACAATCGTTAATCATAAAAATATTTGTGGATTTTTGGAAGTTATTTGTCTATCAACGATAAATGTGATGTTATGCAAAGTGAAATTCTGCTACGGCCATCCAGCTGCAGTTCTTTCCGACGTAACTGTCTCTTTTTAGAAAAATAATAACCGACTAATATATACCTCTACATACAGGTAGGGATTCTCCGTCTATTAGATAAACAGTATTCTCCGTCTACAGTAGTAATCGTAAAAACGTGGAGACTACAATCATATCAGTCTACTCCCCGTGCAAAAATCAGCCTCTATCCCAGAGGACCAGCGAGTATAGTTGAAGAGGCCAGGATGCGTTACTGAAAGCTTAGTGTAGATTGTAACAGAAGTAAGTCACTGTTGGACCTTATTTTTAATAGAAATTTATACCGGGTGTCCCACCTAAGTTGCCTCGGTCCATAGCCGAATTATGATTGAGTTTTTCAAAAAATGTTTCAAATAAAAGTTGAATTGAATCATATTGTACATATTTTAAAATTAGTTTCAGTAATGGCGGACTTCCGCTTCTTCCGGAAATGGATATCAACTTTGTTATTTTAAATGGAACATCCTGTATATTATTGCATTTTTGGATTCCTCGTGTAATTTTAATGGTACTTTGTTAAGGATAGCTTAGGTCTAATTGGTATCGTTTTTGAATTATATGACGATTTTCGAAAAAAATGACATTTGCATCGTCTTATAAATTTGGCAATATTGCCGAAACTGTGAAAGCTAGAAAGATTTGGTTTTCTGTTTTGTATTAACAATAAAAGAGCACACGTTTGCTAATAGAAAATTATGCATTTATATTACGGAGTTCTTAAGTAGGGATCTGTTATTTTCGAACTTTTTAATCATGGATAACTTAATTTTTGTAAATGGAACAATATACCAGTTTTTGCATAACTGGATGTAAAATTTAATTTCCTTTCAGTTTTATACAGGTATCATGGTGTCTATCTTCAACGGTTTTGGAGATATTCCCGATTTTTCAGTTTTTAACTCTTATTTCGCAGCGTCGGCCACCTCCCCTCGTATTTTACCAGGCTTAGGACTGGCAGAAATATTACTGGCATGCTTAAAAAGTGGCCAACAAAACACAACAAGACCACTGGAAACAAAACACAAATAAAGAAACACTATTGCATCAAATGTTCAAAATGTTGTCCGTTTTGTTCACTACATAATAGAAATCGTTTTTGTAAGGAGTTTTGAACATTTCTGAGCATTTCTGGTGTGATTTCTTGAAAAGCTCTTACAATACGTTGACGCATATCGTCAGGAGTAGTTGGTGATGTCTCATAAACCTTGCTTTTAATGAAACCCCATAAAAAGAAATCGCAAGAGGTAAGATCTGGCGATCTCNCAAGCTCGGAGGAATTGAGAATGGTGTGCATAGTGGACATATCGAGTAGAATTAAATGGCCGGACAAGTTTAAATATTTATTAAGAGTTATTTATCAATCAAAAAAATAGGTAGTAAAATCTTTAAGACTCCTTGAAAAGTGATTTCTTTATATAAATTATTTTTTACGGATGAATTAAAAGTTCATTGAAAGGTATTTTCTATTAATTTTCACTTCCCGATCATAGAGGAGAAATGTATGTAATGCTTGAAACGTACATTTGTTGGAAATCGTGAGGCGCAAGTGCTAACCGGAAATGCGCTTTTAATGGCATCCGACGGTTACGTAGAAGTCCACATTGGCACGAGTTCCTTGCATTGCCTACTAAATAAATCATCGATAGCTCGGTGCCGTCGTGCGGCAACACCGTAATATTCTAACTGTTGTTCGACATCTATCAGAGGCGGCTGATCTGGTCGAAGTATTGAGCCATGTAAAATCTTTGCTTACTTCGCTTACTGCCAATTACATCTACATCGCAGTCCGTGAGTCGATATTGCTAATGGCGGTCACAGATAAGCAGGCGGCTATTGGAACGGACAGGAAGAAAAAAGGAGATAGCGGAAACCTGTTGCTGACCTGGGCGAGACTATGAATACCATAGTTCGTGGGAGGACTTCAGGAAACGTTCGGATTAAAACAAGATTTAAGTTTAATTTAATTTTATTTCTTATTCAATTCAACTGACAACAGTATCTTTATGTACAGCTGTCCGCCAACAAAGGAAATAACAACAGATGTTATTTTTTGCTTCTTACTCAAAGTCTTTCTCAAAGATTGACAATTTCCTTTCTCGAAAATAGACAGGAATCGACGTTGATTATCTTCTCAAATACCTAAATTCCTTTCAGCCGTCAAATACCAACCTCTTCACTTGCCTTCAACTTACTCCGGGTGTATTTCACCTCCTCCGGCGTCCTAATTCCCGGTGCCCCACGTCGCGGTCCAACAAACAACCGTCGTGTCTTACACATATTCCCTCGTCCGGCTGGCGGCCCGCATCTCGTGATGTTGGTTCCTCTCTCACGTTCTTCACCCGGGACACTCCTGTGCCGGGAATCACGACGCGCCGCGGGTGGTGCCTTCCGTCGCGCTGACGTGCAATTTCCTCCGTTCTTGGGAGGACGGCGAATTCCCCCCAACGACAACGACCCCCCGACGACGCTGCGCCGTCGTCCGCGACGTTCTCCGGCACTGGACTCCGTACACAATGACGCTAATGAGATGTTTCGTGGCGGCGTGCACGTACGCTTTAGTATTCCGCACGTGACGGCGAACGCCTAATGAGGACGGCCCCTTTCCCGAGCGAGCCTCTGCCCCCGGCTGGTTATCTTATTTCGGGACGTGTAAACGTCACCGCGAGCTGCCGTTAAAACTCTAAGGTCTTAAATGCCAGAGAAGCCCCGCCGGCTTGTCTCGATGACGCTCCAGATGCTCTCTTCGTGGTCGTTACGGCGCCAAGGTATCCAATCGACGTGAGCTTCGAGTTCCTTTCTTGCTTGTAACGTGCTCCAGACACCGACAAACCTTGTAACTTGGTTGGAATCGATAGAATCTTCTTTTATTGCAACCTTCTCAAATACCATACTATTATTTTCTTATAGCCAACCAAGATATTTATACAAAAAAAAATTAAATTTTGTGCATCCTCATACTTTGCGATTCATTTGCAAATAATAACAAATAAAAGTGCCAGGCAACCTAGATTCCGGTACCGAGTGTTTGCTAAACAAGTTTTCTCTTCAGACGCAAAAAGCACCACTGCTCTAGTTCACACAGAAATAGTTTTCAGAATGCGACGAAGCTCATTGTATCCGACTCCATTCATAGGCCGGGCATTTTAACGATGTGAACGACAACCTTTCCGCGAGAGTGCGCTTCCCTCGTTACATAACGTCAATCGAAACTCTCTTTGGCGATCGAAGGGATCGTCATCGTTCTCTTTGAATAACCCAGAACGCATTGTGTTTTTTTTTTTCAATTCACTTCAATAAGTGAATGATGTGATTTGGTTGATTGTCTAACTGATATCGCATGGACATAGTAAAGGAATCCGTTTTGGAATAAGTACTAATGTGTAATTGTAACGTTGCGAAGTGTTGGGTTAAAACAAAAACCCGAACAAGTGAAAGTGGTGGAGACGCGGCGTTGGAGTGTGTTCTTCTGCTGAAAGCATCTGAGCATTGCACAAGCGCGAACATTTGAGGTCTTGATGACGTAACGTGAGCGGGAGGGGCACGCCATAACGGTCAGGAAACCACGGAAACATCTGATCTAAGTATGCGAAAAATTGCCTTCAAAGGTCATCGTTACGGTTCCGTAGCATGGAGGAAGAAGTCCTTATTTCACAACCACTGAAAGCTTGGGCGAGCACGAAGGAAACCCAGAAGGTCGCTGATTGTTCAATAACCATGGATGTCGACGCTTATGTCTTTTAAGAAAATTACTCTTTTGTGGAAAATAAACAATTAACTCTTTAGCAACAATGTACTACGCCAATTTTGTTCTTATTTGCGATTCGAAACAGTAGTATAACTAATAAAGTATTGTTAGTACAGAAGCTGGTAAGAACGAACTTGGTAGAAAGAGTAAATTTACAAATTACTTTTTAAGTTATATAACAGCGCAATTTTTAAAATTATGTCCAACTACTAGTTACCGCATGGGAATTTTCTATGAGATTTAGAACACCCTGTTTCATATTTCATTGTTATACACAAGAAAATGCTGTAGCAGATTTGCACCGTGCGATAATAGATAGTGTGTCTAAGTGAAGTTTCAATTAAGTATTCTTTGTACGTTTTAATAAGAACTTTCACAAATTCGCTCAAATGCGGTTCACTATCAATATAAGCTTGTTTAATTCGCGGGCAATATACCTTCGTAATTAACATTTATTAATAACCACAAACGGTGTACGCCGGGCTTATCGCAGATTGTTTCGTACAATTTAAGGGTTAGGAGGAACCCAATTTAAAAATAAGGCATATACTTAACCCATAAAACTATCGTATAGGATATTTTAGGTTCTTGAAATATGCAACAACCAACGTCACTTTTATCTTGTTAGTGTCCCTCTTGTATCTTTTTCCCGGGAGGTGTGCATAATATACCTTGAAAGATGTAAGTAAAACGGGTGGAAGATAAGGTAGGAACCTGTTATAACGCGAATAAACGCGCTTCGTAGCCACACAGTCGACGTAGACAGACGGGATGGCGCTCTTTTCCTATGAATAGTAGATTAGGGATCTCCGCGGGGAAGCATTCTGGAAGCATTTGCTGTGGGAGCTTCTGTCCAAGGAGATTTACTTAAAATACTGCTATAGCAAGCAACTTTTGTAACATGCAGATTTAAATCTTATTGCGAAGAAGCGAAAGGGGGGGATTCAGGCCAAGGTGATTTTACGATATAAAAAATACTTATTTATTTACAATTTTCTTCGATTAAATCATCGATGATTACTTTTTTCGATTCTCTATTCGGTTATGGTTTGTTATTGATTGCCTCATCGGCTATGGTTTGTTATGGATGGTGCGCATAGCGTGAGAAAAAATGGTTCATGAAAAGTCGTGTCCGCAGAAAGTGATTATTGGTTTATCACCTTTTACTTTCCGTTGACAATTAACTGCTTTCTCTTAATGACAAAATTGCGTGTATACTAACGAGAAAAAAGTTCGGTTCAGTTTCTAATTCGCAAGCGTATTGCTCTGGTCTCCGTAAAATTATTCATGCTACCATTTAAGCCGATGATGCTGTTATCATAAGGATGTCGTATAATTAATCTACGTTTTATTGTGGTGTTCAACGAAGTATGGACGCGACGACGTAATATATTCAACAATAATGGGGAACGGTCGGTAATATTGCATGCAACAATGATCGAGGAAAATTGAACTGGTTTTAATAATTAATTTTATGGGGGATTTTGTATAAAAATGAATCTCTTAATATTCAAGATTCTACGTAGCAAATCACAAAAACTAACCGCACTTCCGTTGGCGTACTCTGATTGAGACGTAAATTTAAAACGCAAGTAACTTAACTGTCAAGTAGGCAACAGAAGCTGGTACGGAGGTCTCAATTCAATTAAATTGTCGCACGCTTAGGTCGGCCGATAAATTTCCACATTAATTATTTATAAAGTGTAGCGCAGTCGTTGGTGTCCCCGGTTCGCTTGGAAATTTATTGGTTCAATTAACCGGAATTGCCGTCATTTGAATTGCAACCGAGCGCAAAAATTATCAATAATAATTTCATATTTCCACTTATAAAACTAGGTTTGTAGTAGAGTGCGGGAAGTTAGCCCCCCATTTTTTGATTTTTAAATTTTTTATTGTTGTTCTAGATTGTTCTAGAGTTGTTCTACATTGTTCCAAAGCGGCAAATCGAAAAAATAAAAACTCCGCGAGAAAACCGAAAAAACAGGTTNAAACAGGCTCTAACGAATTACACCAAAAACATACGTAAGGCAAAAAGAGAGTCTTGGAGGAGGTTCTGTGAGGGAGTGAAAGACACACCCAGCAGTGCAAGAATTCACAAGATTCTCGCTAGAGATCCGGCACTACCCCTGGGCTCACTTAGGCGGCCTGACGGTAGTTTTACGGACTCTAGCAGAGCCTCGTTGGAACTTCTAATGCAGACTCATTTCCCAGGAAGCCTGATGATGAGGGCCGATAATGCCACAGCGGGCTATTCCTGCAAGGCAAAGCGCCCCTCAAATACGGATTGGAGTGTGGCTAGAAAAGTCGTCACTTACACACGTCCACGTCCGTGGACCAGGCAATTCAAACGTTTAAGCCGTTCAAATCGCCTGGAGAAGACAATATATTTCCTGCTTTGTTACAGCAGGGGAGGTCTTTGTTGTTGCCAATTCTGAAAACCCTTGAAAAAGTTCTGGAACGGTATATCCGTACGGTGCCATTGGTGTCTGATCCACTGAGTCGTCACCAGTATGCTTATCAAGCGGGAAAATCAGCAGAATTGGCTCTACACAACTTAGTTGGTAGAGTATCCAGGACGCTGCAGGATAAAGAAATCTTGGTTTGTGCGTTACCACAATCTCTTGAAAGAGCTGCTCTTGACAGGGGAGTGGAAGCAACTATAGCGGGTTGGATCTGCAATATGCTAGATAGTAGAATAGTTTCTACTTCACTCCACGGTGATACAATACGCTTCAGGCCGGGAGGTGGCTGCCCGCAGGGTAGGGTGTTATCTCCCCTGCTTTGGTCCCTCCTAGTTGACGATCTGATTGCGATAGTCGAAGCCGTTGGTGTGGAAATACAAGCTTATGCTGATGACATTGTCGTTATGGTCAAAGGAACCTGTTTGCCGAGGATATCTAANATTTCTGGTGTGATTTCTTGAAAAGCTCTTACAATACGTTGACGCATATCGTCAGGAGTAGTTGGTGATGTCTCATAAACCTTGCTTTTAATGAAACCCCATAAAAAGAAATCGCAAGTGGTAAGATCTGGCGATCTCGGAGGCCATCTAACAGCGGTCCGGAAAGGACACATCCAAATACCGACATACTTGGGGTATTGTGCGGTGGAGCACCATCGTGTTGGAACCACATCCACTGACGAATAGCTAGTGGAATATTTTTCAACAGAACGCCCAAATTATTTTCTAAAAATTCTAAATAAATCCTACCCGTCAAACGTTGATTATGAAAGAAAGGGCCTATGATATGCGTTCCAATGACACCTGCCCACAAGGAATCGATGAGGGTTTGTTGTATCATAATAATGACAATTGTGTGATTCATCCGAAAACATCACCTGTCCGAAAAAATTCGCATCAAGATTAGTTCTTTCAATTGCCCACTGACAGAATAACAGCCTGCTTTCGAAATCGCCTTCAGTAATTTTCTGGTGCAACTGGATTCGATACGGTGTACCGAAGATTTACTGATGTTTGTCCTCCTACTTATTTCACGCACACTAGATTCTGCATTTTCTTGCACAGCTAACAATACGTGCAACTGGTTTTCATCCGTAAGTACGGAGTTATTACGGTTGCGCTTAGTACATTTTACGGATCCAGTATTTGTAAATCTTTCCAGTAAGGACAGAAATGCCCTCCTATTTGGATGCCTCCTATCTGGATATTGTTGTGCGTAAACTCTCGACTAATTCTTTCCGCGTAAGTGACATTTTTAATTATTATGATAACAAATAATACTTTGAAAACCAGTTCTAATGCGTAGAACACTAATGACAGTTCTAATGCGTGGAACAGTAATGACAGTTTACTTAGTTTGTTTTCCAAGCCTACTTCAATTTTTAATAGTATTGCAAAGCGTCGACCACCTTCCATTTTACCAGTCGTCAGCCTACTTCGCAATACATATCTATCGTAAACAACTGAAAAATCGGGAATATCTCCAAAACCGTTGAAGACAGACACCATGATACCTGTATAAAACTGAAAAGAAATTAAAATTTACATCCAGTTTTGCAAAAATTTGTATATTGTTCCATTTAAAAAAAATAAGTTATCCATGATTAAAAAGTTCGAAAATTACAGATCCCTACATAAGAAGTCCGTAATATAAATGCTTAATTTGCTATTAGCAAACGTGTGTTCTTTTATTGTTAATCCAAAACAGAAAACCAAATCTTTCTAGCTTTCACAGTTTCGGCAATATCCAAATTTAGCCAAATTTATAAGACGTTGCAAATGTCATTTTTTTCGAAAATCGTCATATAATTCAAAAACGATACCAGTTAGACCTAAGCTATCCTTAACAAAGTACCATTAAAATTTCACAAAGAATCCAAAAATGCAATAATATACAAGCTGTTCCATTTAAAATAACAAAGTTGATATCCATTTCCGGTAGAAGCGGAAGTCCGCCATTACTGAAACTAATTTTAAAATATGTACAATATGATTCGATTCAACTTTTATCTGAAACATTTTTCGAAAAACTCAATCATAATTCGGCTATGGACCGAGGCAACTTAGGTGGGACACCTGTATATAATTAATTTCGGTTCAGAACCGACCTTCATTAGAGAGAAGAGTTGAAGATAAGGAGTTGATGGAATAGATTTATGTCCCCCCTAAGGGGTCTAGGAAAATGGAAGATTGAATAGAAGGTGCAAACATGGAAAATGAGGAACTGCTCCAAGCAGTTCAAAGTATTGATTGGCAGTCTGACCAAGCACGTAGTGAAGTTCTACGACACTGTCAAGAACGAAGAAGGGAAGAAGTTGTTTGAAGTCCGACAAGTTTTCCAATTCAAAATGAAGATGGGACCCACTAGAAACAACAGTTTGGAGTAAGGCAATGATTTTTAATGTCGTTGTTAAATAGTCACGTTGCCTACAGACGTATGGCAGAGTACAGGTGCATGAAATGTGGGAACTGCATCCAGCATTATTGTTCTATATTGTTTGCTTGAATACTTTATTTTGTCATGTGAAGTTATCACATGACAATATATTCATGTTTTTGCTGACCTATTAACGTACACGCTCGAGTTAATGCGAGCGTCCTAAACTCGCTTTCAAAAATAGTGCGCTAAGGGGTTAATCGTGTCTTATTCGTAATCCATTATTTTTATTGTATTAGCGTAACAAATTTCGTTCATTTATTGAATGCCCTACTTTCACCAAAACAAATAGAAACGTAAAAAAGGTAACATCTATAATATATAAGGCCACTAAAATATTTATATGAATAAATACATTAATCTAAAGTAAATACAAATAAGTATATAAAGATTATTTTTAGCCTTGAAGCTGATTAAATTAGATTTGAGAGTAAAATTCAACGATATTTTAGGATTAATTCTGTTTTTACATACAAATATTAATACATGTAATATAAAAATGAAATATTTGTATTTCAAGTTTTGATTTACTTACTCTGAACATTAAAATGAGATTTGACTTACCATTTTTTTTGTTAGGTTTCCTCAACGTCGATGGAGCTCTTTTAACAATTGGCTTAGCGACGTAAGTAATACTCTTCTTTCTAGAAAGTCCAGATTTTTTTCTACGAACCGGTTTTCGTTTAGGGGTGGGCGAGGGTGCACCCGAAATAACGCACTGAACCGTTTGAACACCGTTACTTTTTATTTCATTAACAGCGTTTTCTAAAATAATACTCGAATACGCGTCACTATAATCGTGATCATCTTCACGTAAACTAATTCTTGAGATCCTACCGCTCATTTGGATTTCTTCATCGGATATTCCATCAATGTCATCGGGCAGACTTTCGTATAATCCTTCATCGGCACTGCCGGTTGAGTAAACAGCCTCTCTTTGCGGACAATTTCTAATTTCTCGAAGATTTACTTTGAATGAGGGTTTATTTTTAACCGATGTGGTTTTACGTTTTTCGGGGGGCACGAAAATCATTGGGTCTAATTTGAGGTTTTTTAAACATCTCGGTCTACTTACAACCACTTGATACATATCGAATCTAGGAGGAGATTTATTCTTTCGTCTACTCGAATTGAGAAGTTTCTTTCTCCTACTACTACGTCGCTTAACCGAATTTCTTTCATTTATGTTATAGCCCGTTCGCTTAAAATAACCATCACGGCTGACGGACAATTTTGGTTTCGGTTTTTTTCTGAAAAATCCCCTTGTAACACTTTCATCGGTAAGTTTTGGAATTGAAATGGAGAATGAAAATCCTGAGTCTTTGCTGGAGAATAATCCTGTTGATGTGGTTGTGTTGCTTGTTGAAGACAAAGTTCTTGCAACTGGAGGAGTTGGTCGTTTTTGTAACCTATTTATGACTATTGGGTCGTCTCGCAGTTCTTTTAAGGCAGAATCTAAAGAATGGTGAGCTACTGGTTGGTTATTTGATGATTTTGGCATTTCCAAGCTTCTTGGTGCCATATTTTGGGGGGCGTCCATCCAAATTCGTCCTAAACTTATTGATAAAGAACACATTTCTTCTGCGCCGGAATCTGGCATTAAAGGAGTCGATGGTCTCGATTTTTTTCCCCAAGGGAACATTTCAACAGCGGAATCATTGCTTTCTTTTCTTTGAAGAATGGGTGAAATTTTTCTGGGTATTTCTTCAATTGTGGTGATTCTAGTAGACGATATTTCGCGTTTCTTTTCAGTCTTTTGAGGGCTTTTCTTTCTGGGGGGAGATCTCCGTCTTATCACTGGCGATGCAGATAATTGTCGTATCACCGGAACTTGTTCGTCATCTTCACATGCCGGAACATAAATAACAGTTCTTTCCGCGCCTTTAACACCCGAATAAGTCCCTTCATCTTTACGAATTCCTTTCAGCCACTGCCCGTAGGCTATTACACTTTGTCCCGGTCCTTCCCCTCTACCTTTCTTCATTTTACTAGATTGTTGATTAAGATCGACTTTATCCACCTGAACTGAAGAATCAACCTTCTTCGATGGGGATTGTTCTATACTTTGAACTTCTTCAGGTACCGTTTGAGTGGCAACTTCTAATTTTTGAAGTTGTTTCTTTTTACCCCTATCCAAATAACTCCTACGGATTGAAATCCTTTTAAAGGAATCGCTTCGTTTGAACGAAGATTCCTTCTCCTTCTTCTTGCGACCCGCGCCGACCAATCGGCGGAGGTTCTCGAAGGTGATCGGCTTCATTTCCGCTGATTATTCGCTCTGCTCGATGAAGACATCGCGAAGACGACCTAGCGGAAGTCAGATAAGCAACATGGGCGAAATTGAAAGAAATCACCAGCAAACTTTGACGGCACGACGCGATATTTAATTGAACTTAATTGAAAACGTGTATTGGATCGTGATGGACAAATAAATTCATTTTCGAGATAGGTTTGTAAGTGATGGCACGCCCAGAAATTGCTATTGCGTGAACATAGCAATTGAGATGTTATGTGAATATGTTTAATGTTATTTTTAACCTTTCAATGCACGCGCGCGGACTATCAATGTCTAATTTCGCACTAGCGCCCTCTTTTTTTGGGTAGCTGTTTCATTTGACAATACTTAAATGAATATAAAGAATCGATATTGTTGACCATAGAAAAATTTATATATATTATGTATATAGAAGGTCATCTCCCCACTATTTTTTGGTACAAGCGCTCCCAAGGGGATTGTGAGGGAACTAATTAGGTTAAAGCGCGAAATTTAAATATAGGTATTTCTATACTGATTTATACCATTACTTTATTTTGAAGAGGTCAAGCGCATTTTCCAAATAAATAGGAAAAATTATGAATTTAAAGTTTTTCCAAGATAATATTCATAATTTTTAAAGTATATTGCTCTCATTGGCTGAGAGCGCCAATTTATCTATCGGATAAACTTATCAAGAGGTGGTAAAAATGGCCCTAACTTATTTAAATACTTAACTAAAGGATATAAAACACTAAGCCAAAAGAACGTAAGGAAGAAAATTTGCTAATACAACGGGGTTATCACCAATTATTACACTAAACGACAAAACAAAAATGTGACGTTTGCTTTCACCTCTGAGTTTGACGTTACACATAAATTTTTCTATGGTTTCAAGCGCTTTGTTTGTGTAGATAATGCAGATTGCTGCAAATTCAGTCTACAACCTCATCCAGTGGATTGTGAGGGTACTAAATCTCGGTTTACATTTTTATAGTAGTAAGATTGCACACCATGTTGTTGACAAGCAATAATAACAATTGAAATGTTGTGCAATACAGCAGAGTATTAATCAAAGATCTCGTGGCAGCCATGAGATCGCCATTGTCACCGGTAATCGCCAATTTGTACGCACGGTGTGTTTACTTATACTTATAAAATGAATACGTATATGTAGTACTAGTACAAACCTAGAGATGGCACTGCGAGCGCTATTTGCAATCTGTATTATCTGCACAAAACAAAGTGCGCATGCGTGGTTATACTTTCAACAAGTATCAGTGTTTTGTTCGACAGATTCAATCATTACTATTATGCCAAAAGAGGCTTGTCAAACTGCCCAAATTTTAAAATTTTTTGATAATGTGTTTGACTCGGTGAATGGAACCTTAAAAAGGAACAAAGAAGGCAAACCACTCAAGATGGTTGTGACCAAATCGAGTGAACACCGAAACTTTTGGAGATGTATGGTAATGAAATAGTAAAATGCAATGTTCATGAACATTGCATTTTACTATTTTTTTTATGCATTGTTGTTTTAGATATCTAATTTTCTTTTTTATTATTATAATATATATATTATTATATTCAGTAAATTTTAAATAAAAATATTTAATTAAATGTAGCTTTTTTTTATTTAAAAACAAATAAACAAAACCACTATACTATATAAAAATTATCCATTTAAATTTCGCGGCTTATCGAAAGAAGTACTAGTACATTCCGCTAATGGCGCTGAATTTCATTTCGACCAAATAATGGTGGGGAGTAAAGCTTCTATATACATATATATAATATATTTTTCTATGTTTGTACGCGGACATGTTTGAGGAGGATATGGTTTCGTTCCGTGGTTTACCTTTATGATCTAGCAACATGGGAAAACGTGTCCCCAGAAGTTGCTAGACCACTTGAACTCGCAGCACCTCATGATTAAATTTACCATGGAAACGGAAACTGCTAAACAGTTACCTTTCCTGGACGTTTTGGTCACTAGGACGACTCGTTTTGGTCTTGTGTTACTTTTAGTGATAGTGCAATACTAGAACACTAAACTAGAATGATTTCAGTTCTAGGTCTTATGTTCGTTCTCGTGATAGTGCTGGTGTAAAACTAGAACCAACACTAGACTTAGAAAGTATCGGGTTTAGCAGCACGTCTATCAATACGGCTAAACCCGAATGATTCTAATTCTAGGTCTTGCGTTAGTTCTAGTGATAGTGCAATACTAAAACTAACACTAGACCGAAAACTAGAAACATTCGGATTTAGCCGCACGTCTCTCAAGACGGGGAATGGTTCTAGTTCTAATTCTAGTGTTAGTTGTAGTGACCTAGAACTAGAAACATTTCGTTTAGCGGTTCGTCTCTTAAGACGACTAAACTTGAAATTTTTCTGATTTTTCACAAAAACTGATGTTGCTAGTTGTAGGTCTAGTGTTAGTTTTAGTGCTAGTGTTAGTCTAGTATTATTTGTTATTCAGCACTAGATTAAGTAAAGTTTAGTTTTAGTTGTTATTCAGCGTCAAGTAGTTGTATATTTTGAACACTGCGAACTTCTTTTTGAAGAAGGTTATTGTACTAGTGTTAGTTACACATTAGCTAACTCTATTTTTTTTGCTCGGCGATCGTTTCTATTGTAAATTGCGCGTACTGAAAGGTTAATAACGTCAATTTATGACAGTTTAATGATGAATGATTAAATTTACGAAATAGATTTTTAGGATATTGGATGATATCCTTGCTTTCACAAGTTTTTTGGGTAAAGTTGGTGGTCCACTTCAAATGTTAAAAATGATAACAGAATGCTATGTAAGTAACACGTATTTTAATTCACAACGTGAAACAAAAATTTAAGATTTGTAACATTTCAGTATTGTAGACAAAGCCATAACCTTAAAAACTTGTTAATGCATGATGAATGAAAATGTAACGTTTATGCAAAATACAATGTGTAAATTCCAGCATAAATTTAACGTATAAAAAAGTTGATTCGACGTTAAAAGTTTAAACCTTGAATAAAATTGGTCAGCGGAACAAAGGGTTTACGTAACACGTTGACCACGTACCGCGAACAAGATGTAACAATAAGATAAGGTGGTAATTTAACTGTCGTTGGTCGTAAGTTTAAAGCTTCGCCGGGATTGGGACCGCTCTCGTGTGCTGTCATAGTTGAAGTCGACCATTTAAAAGACAAACCCTTAAATTCCAATTTCAAGTTGAGGAAATGGCAACCTGCTCCCGCTGCCGCAGTCATAAATCCGTGGGGATTTAGAATTTACGTTACACTAACGTTTACCGTTTCACTAGTCTGCAATTAAACTAGACAAACTGTACATTGCTCCGGCAACACGACCGCGGGCAAATCTTTCTGTCAGCGCGTATATTTATTTATTTATTTATCGACTTGGTATTATTATAGTACACGAGACGTCGCATTCTCAACGGGATCGTAAAGGTCTTTTATTTACCATCCTTTATAGCTTTCAGGTATTCGGAAATTCCAGGATTTCAGGAATAAGTTACTTGGCAATACATTTATTCCAGTCATATACGAAGAATAATATTATTCAAATGAAATTTACCCCTTAGAGAATACGTAAATGTGTTTTCTCTTATTCTCTAGGTGTATTCGCGTATTCCTCTTTGGAAAGAAACCCCGGTGATTAAACCGATGAAATGTATCTATAGAGCTACCGCATAAAAGGCCAATTTTACTACAATCTTAAATGTGTATATCTAATCGTTATCCCCCTGAAAGAACCCGAAGGCTCCTGCAATGGTTGTATGCTGTCAATAGACCCCCGTGAATTATCTTGTAGTACCTCAGGTACAAGAGGGTCATTGTACTTTCAATGATGACGATGGCTCTTAAGTCCACAGTCTTGACTTTTAAACTATACAACAAACATGATTATTCATTCTATTCTATGGAATAGTTCCGAGAATATTATAATAAATTTATTATAATAACGGTAAATTTTAATTTGCGAAAAAAGTTTTTTAATCAATTTCCTGCAACGTCAGCGATATCAATTCGATCACAATAGTTCCATCTGTACTCCACAATCGTTTATTTTTGTGTTCAATCCGCGCCATATGGATTCGCTAACCTGAAAATCTGCGCGAGACGTCTTCTAAACGCAAGAAGAAATCAAAAACCGCCGAGGTCAGTCCTCTGCTGCTGCTACACACGTTTGTGGGCGCGGTTCAGGCATTGCGCAATAAGGCCGTGCCCGAGGAGGTGGAGAACACATAGTATCCGAAAGCGACTTTCGCCGTCTACCTTTGCTCCTCTTCTCCTCTTAGGTATGGAACGGATGCGACGCCATATGGCGCTTGTCGCGACTATTATGAAACGAAACTGGAGCTTCATCATAATCGGGAGGGAAATTAAAAAAGTTTTTTGATTTCGCCGTTGAGGAAGACGTCGTTTCGCGGTCGCTGATATCAAAGTAAAAAAAAAATACATTCTAACAACACGAAGGAGTGCTTAAAATGGAAACGTGCACAAAAGAACGTTTTGGGTGCATTTCCGGGGCGAAACTGACTCTTTGTACATTTCAAAGTAGTTTCACCGTAATGGTTCTTCATTTATAGTTTGTTAGGTTCATATTTATAACTTATTTCTTTATATGTAAATATTTTAACGAGGTTATCGGACTCTACACACTAAATTTGGAGATGTTATTCGACGTTGTATTAATGTATTTTGAAAAGATATTTACCACGACTATAGAATTTTAATACGATTCGTTCACAAAAATTCTTATAAATATTGTCCGATTAATTGGCTGGAATATTCCGGTTTGTAGTTCCGGTCGAAGCGATTAAATGCGGCTCCGGTAATCTAGCGAGGCAATCTAACGGTGAACTGTGTGTAGGCATACGAAAATTACGCGTGCTTCACTACAGTTAGGTTTACCTTCGGGTGTTTATTGTTCGTGAGGATAATATCCGATTATGGTAATCGAAACTTACGGCTTGGACGCGACCGGAATACATAATATACGTTCCCCATGTACTTTCGTTTTTCGTTTCGTATCCGAAAACGA